TTCATGCTCTAAGAACATCCCTTCCCAGATTTAGGACAGATTCTAGACTTTATGGTTATTTTTACATATTGAAACCAAGACTTCAAAAACACTATGTAGCTAACATTCTGTTTTCTCCCTATCCTCATAATGATGGAGGAGCTTGGGATGTGGAAGAGCATGGGTTTGGAGCTTGCCTTCCCACCACCAGTATTTAGGATCCCATGGGATGGTTAAAGAATGATGACTGCCCATTGTTGGCTCAGTGTGCTTCTACCTGCACTAATGGCCTCCACCAGCATGGTTATCTTCCCTACACAGTTTTTATTTCCTTATAACTGTGTTTATCTTCAGAACCTATCCCTTCTGTTATCCAAGGATCTTTTGAAGAGCAAGATTTTAGTCTTTCTCTCACAAGATAAGGTCCTCAACTGCCTTTTTCATTTCGTCGCTCATCTGCCACATTTCTTGTCCCACAGCTCATTCTTTCTTTTCTATGATCCATGCTATTCAGAGCCCAGACCATTGAGTTCTTGATCAGTTGCTGTTAAAGATCCCTTCTTCCCAGCATCACTTCATTGCTAGACCTAATTATTTTTCAAAGAAGCTGTAAAATAACCCCAATGCCACCTTCAGAATTCTGCACCTATTTTACTAGGGTCATGTTTTTCTCTGACAGTTGAGGGGAAGAACTTGTGCCCCAAAACTTTCTGGACATACTCTGCTCCATACAGATGACAGCACTAAGACAGTCCAGTGATACCTGTTCAGCAAGTAACTACCTGGGGTGAAATGCCCCTCTTGCCTTCTCTCACTTAGCTCCTTATTTAGCTTGTGAAGAAGGAAAGAAGCTATTTACTTGTGTCTAACCCATAGCAAGCAGGAACAGCTACTCCACTAACTCTGCATTCCTCATCATAAGAAGACCTTATGTAACTTCTCATCTACAACAAACCATGTCTTATATGTTCTGAATTCTAGGCACCTTTTGGAAAGTCCTAGTGCTGGTACAAGTGGCTGATTATTTCACTAAAGTTTGCTTATTAAAAAAAGAGAGATTAGTATATGATTGTGTTATCATCTTTGATTGGATCCATCAGTTACCATGAACCACCAAACACTTCTATATTGTTTTTGTTCTATTGTGACATCCAAAGAATTTCCTCAATTCCCAAGACCTGTGGAACAGCACATATATCATTTCACTAAATTATTTCACCTAATTTGATATTTTAAAATATTTTCAATAATGTAATTTAAAATCCTCCTAAAATATTTCTATTTAAATCTCATAATTCTGCCATAATTTTCATAATTAAACTTGCTAGTCAATTTTTGTCATTCATTTGGTCACTCAAGCAGCATACAGTGGCATCTATTATGGATAAAGCACTAGACTTGGCTCTAGGGCTATGGAAATGACAAGCAACTCCACTGTCCTTTTAGAACCTACATTCTAGTTGAGGAAAGGAAGTAGATATGGATAGAGATAAATAAATTTCAGATTGTGATAAGCAGTGAAGGAAGCTGAGCAGAGCTCCATTAGAGAAAATAACTGGGTGTGGCTACTTTAAATATGGTAATTAGGGAAGGTCTGTCTGATGAAGTAGTGTTTTCAGCTGAGATAAGAATGAGAATAAGCATCCAAAGTTGCCAGAATATTAATAGAAGAAGAAGAGAAGCAGTTATTGAGGCTTTGCTTGTGAAAAACCGTGTGATACATTATTGTAAGAAATGGCAAAGGGCCAATATCACCATGTACATTTATAGAGGGAGATACTCATATTGGGATCTTAGAGAACCTTCTAAAGGATTTTGTTTATATGCACTGTGCAATAGAAAGGCATTGAAGAATTTAAACAGGGAATGAAATGAAATGATTAAATTTTTAAAGACCACTTTGATTTCTCAGAACAAAACAAATTGTAAGACAGAAATGGTGAAAGAGGCAAGATAATTAAGAGTCTATTACAGTTGGCATACAAATATGTTTATTAGGTCAAGGATGTTGGCATTGGAAATGGAGAGATGGTGCTATGGAGTGAAACACGTGCCCTCCAAATTCATATGTTGAAACTCTAAAAGCCTATAAGATTCTATTTGGGCTTGTAAAAGTTAACTGAGGTTATTGTGTGGGGCCCGAATCCAGTAACATTGATATTCTTAGAAGGGGAAGAGCCACCCAACTGCAGTGCTTGCTCTCAATCTCTCTCTCTCTCTCTCTCTCTCTCTCTCTCTCTCTCTCTCTCTTTCTGTGTGTCTGTCTCTGACTCTGTCTCTCTCTCTTGCTCGC